AGTATTGCCTAGGAAAATAGCCTGTCTGAATTCAAGAGCGTATTATCAACCTTCCTACCCTGCTGATTGCCTAAGAGAGCATGCATCTCCCCTAGTTTTCCTTACACCTCTTTTTTTTTTTTTTTTTTTTTTTGAGATTGTAACTAAAGCTGGGAATGTGGCTTAGTGGTAGAGTGCTTGCCTAGCATACATGAAGCCCTGGGTTCAATTCCTCAGTATCACATAAACAAAAAGCTGGAAGTGGGGCTGTGGCTCAAGTGGTAGAGCACTAGCCTTGAGCACAAAGAGGCTTAGGGACAGAGTCCAGGCCCTGAGGACCTGGACCAGAAAAAAAAAAAAAAAAGAATTGTAACTAAACATGAAGATCAGTGACCACTCTGTGTGTGTGTTCTCAAGGCATTGATGACCCTAAGCCCAAATATATCTCAAACACAAAGCATGTACACATGCTGAAATAAACCCTCAGTAATAACTGTAGTATAGTACTTCGGACACATCTGTTTAGTTTGCAGATGTGTTGTTGTAGTGTGTTGATCTTGAAATAATCTTGCAATTTTGGGGTATTAAATTTTCTTATAGGAAGAAAAGTATAATTTCCCCCTTTTCTGCATTGGCAGACAATGACTATTGCTATATTAGCAACTATTATCTTTGCAATAGTAGTGCTCCTGTTTATTTATTTTTTATGGAGTCATGCTATTAACTGTTGCTCACATGCTGTCCTTGCTCAGTACAGCTCCTATATCACCATGTTTTTCATATAAATGAACTACAAGTAACTGTAACCACAGTAGACTGTTCTTTTTTTATGACTTTACTAGATCAATAGATAAATATCTTTTTTCTTTTTTTTTTTGTCTTTTCTTTTTTGGTACTGGGGATCGAACCCAGGACGTTGCACTTGCTAGGCAAGCACTTTGCCACTGAGCTACATCCCAGCCCTAGATAAATATCTTATTCTCATCTAAACATTTAGTAGAAAATCTCATGTTCTCTTATAACAGAAAAAAAATATCAGATGAGTGTGGAGATGCATTAGACTTATAATGTTTCCAGAAACAAAGACGAGTATATAATGTTTCCTAAAGCTTGGATAGTCATTTTGTAGTGATTTATATAGCTCAGTACCTGAATTTCAAGTGTTTGTTACAATTATGCTCATTTTGCTTTACTGTTTCTCATGTGCCATTTTTTCCTTCCTCCTTCAAAAAGTAAATCATGCTGTCTTTGCTTTAATATTTCCCATGTGCCATTCTTTTCTTTCCTTCTTCTGAAAATAAATATAAAACTGTGGGAAAGGCCTGGCTCTGGTGGCTCACATCTGTAATCCTAACTACTCAGGATGCTGAGAGGTAAGGATCGCAGTTGGAAGCCAGCCCGGGCAGAAAAGTCCCCCGTGAGATTCTTATCTCCAATTAACCACTCAAAAACTGGAAGTGATGATGTGGCCCAGAGTGGTAGAGCACTAGCCTTGAGCAGAAGAGCTCAGGGACTGAGCCTAGGCCCTGAGTTCAAGCCCTACAACTGACAAAAAAAAAATCCCTGTGGAAAAGGAAATGATGTCTTTTATGACTTCAAGGGAAGCAAAGAATAGGATGTACTAGAAAGAGCTCTGGAGTGAGAATAAGAAAATGGGGTGCCTACTCCAGCCCTGCTACAATAGCAGTATTTGTTGAGTGGCTCAGGGTAAATATACAACCAGTCAATTCATACTTCTGTCTCCCGTCACACAGACTAGGACCTGCAGTAGATGTCTCCTACCACTAAAATTTCTTCTTCCCCTTTGAGCCATGTCTCCCATCTTCCTGGAACCCTTCACTGTGAAATCATCACCTGCAGGATTGCTGCTGTGCAGTGCATTTGTTGTAGGCGATTTGACTGTACTCCACTTGTGTTTAATTGCTAATCTACCTCACTTGAAAACATTCTTTATTGCCAGTCAGTGTTGGGGAGGTGGTTTGCGGGCAACTTGGGGTTTATGCCTCTTCTAAATATGTGAGATTAGTTGTCCTGAATTATGGTGTAAACCTGAAATAGAAATTTTCATTACATTTTTATACCCTTTCCAAAGTTAATTGAATAGGTTCTGTAGCAGCACATGACTTTATCTACGGAAAGTTTTGCTTTAATATTTTGCAGCCACACCATTCAATTAAGCATGCTAATTAAGCGCGTTTGGTGAACATTTCTCATGCTTTGTTTATGCAGTTTGAAACTCCCATTTCTGTGAATATCCTCCCAGGAAACGTTTATAAGCACAAAGATTAACTCAAAGGGGAGAGAGAGCTTAGTTGAAAAACAAATTGGAAAAGAATAGAAGAGCGTTCCAGCTCATCTTAAAAGGCTTCTGATGTAAAATTGTTACTATGTTTAAATAAGCTGCCAGAGTACCAGATGTCACCATGCTCAAATTTAACTGCAGCAACAATTTAGTGGAGTATTATACAGACATTAAAATTATGTCTATGAAAAATTCTTTTTAATTGTATTTTTATTATCTTTAAGTGGTTTTACAAAGGAAGTACCATCTAACAAACAGGTTTCTAAGTACAATTCGTCTCCATCGAAATCAGCCCTTTCATCATTCCATTCCTCCCAATCCATCCCCTCCCCTCAATTTTCTTAGCTGCATAGGGTATACATTGAGTATTATGACTTCATTCTCCCTTCCCTTCCTCTCTTCATTCATATTCTCCTCACCCCTTGACACTCCCTCTCACCCCCACTTTCAAGTGCCAGTTCCCTGGTATTTATTTTGTTGGGCTGAGTTTTTCTAAGGAATTAACATCGTTTGAGTTGTTAATGACAGAGCAAATTGTTTCTAATATGGTAACTGAGGAAACTGATAAATAATAAACTATAGTTTGATCTGAATTAAAGGAAAATAAGAACATCAGCCTACTAACTGCAGTTTTCTCTAGATGATATTATTTTATTTATATATTATTATTTTATTTTCATTTTTAAACAACTCAGTTAGTAATTTTAAATGAAATCTATACAGTGCATTTTTTTAATTACTGCAATTTTGAATTCTCCAATGCCTGCATTCATAGAAGAACAAACCAATAAGAGTAAGTACTCTCAAGTTCCCTGGAAGCCATAGCATGGTTCAGCCAAGGCGGGAGTTTACAACAGCCCCAGTCATAAGAAAGAGGGTCTAAAGCATCACAAGGGTCATGAACCATGGGGCTGATCCCCCACAAAAACTCCCACTTCATGTGGATTTCATAAACACAGAACGCATGCTATGTTCTACATAGCAACTACACAGTGACGATCCTAGAAGAATAAGACATACTTCAGACTAAAAGGAACCCAATAGTCTTTGGGGCAGACACAGAAAATAAATCTTAGACTTTGTGGAAAACTATATTTAGGGGCCATCCCAGCTAAAGATAGTATGGTCAGCTGACCCTGGGGAAATCCAGAGGTGATGTTAAAGCCATTGAGAGACAGGTACTGGTGGCTCACACCTGTCATGCTAGTTACTCAGGAGGCTGAGATCTGCGAATTAATCACAGTTCAAAGCCAGCCCAGACAGGAAAGTCCATGAGATTCTTATCTCCAACCATCAAAAAGCCAGAAGTAGAGCTGTAGCCCAAGGGGTAAAACAGCAGACTTGTGCAAAAAAGCTCAGGGATAGTGCCTAGGCCCTGAGTTCAAGCCCAGTACTGGCACACAAAAAATAAATTAAAAGGGCTGGGAAGGTGGCTCAATGGTGCAGCATTTGCCTTGTATGCATGAGATCCTGGGTTCAATTCCTCAGCACCACATAAGCAGGGGGAAAAAAAGCTGGAAGTGGCGCTGTGGCTCAAGTGGTAGAGTGCTAGCCTTGAGCTGAAGAGCTGAGGGACAGTGCCCAGAACCAGAGTTCAGGCCCCACTACCGGACCCAAAAAATAAATAAGTAAGTAAATAAATAAATAGACAAACAAACAAATAAATAAATAAAGGAAAGATGGGAAGGGAAGGAAAAAAGAAAAGAAATCATAGATTATGAAACTACATGTTAGGTTCTAGAGATTGTGCTAACCTATTTCAGTAAGGATGAGCACAGAATATAAAAGAAATAGAGGACAAATGTGGGGAGAAAAATGACAGAAGAAAACTCATGGCTGTCTTTGAATGTCACATTCAGAAGTACAGCCTTTGCCCTGTAAATTACAGGAAGCCTACTGAGAAATCTTAAGGCTATGGATTTACATTCAATTTGCGTTTTTCAAAGATTACACTGGTATGGGGAAACAGAGAAATGGGAGGTCCAGAGGGACATTATTATGAGGGTGTAAGGCAGAAGAAAAGCTGGTCTGACCAAGGGCAGTCATGGCCTGTGCAGTGAGGAATGGAAAAGTGCAATGAAGACTAAGAACCAGCAGCCTGTTGGGGGTAGAATGTGAAGGAGAGGTGGGTAATGAAGACTCCTGAGCTCCAGCGTTAGTGTGTAAGTGAATAGAGGCCCCCTTGGGCTGGGAACTGTGGGAGAGGTGCTGCCAAGTAAAGGGTTTCAGCGTGGGACATAGTTAAAAGGTTTCCATTTTTCTTCCTTCTTTTACCTGCTTCTTTTTCCTTTTTCTTCCTGCTTTTCCAGCCCTTCCTGTACTCTCTGCTTGCTTTCTTCCCTTTTTCCTTTACCTTTCTCTCCACTTCTGTCTTCTCCTTCTCCCCTTTATTTAACTCTCCTTCCTTTCCTTGCTTTCTCTTCTCTCCCTTCTAATCTATTTAGCCATTCAATAAACTTTAATCAGGATTTCCCTGTACACCATGGATTATCCTAGCTATACTGTCCTAGGTCCACAGAAACAGGACAGGTTTCCATGTTCCTTCAGACATGGTGGGGAGGGGGAAGAGGAAAAAGGCATTTTTACAGCCACACTGTGTCTATGTTCAGGACATAGCTAGTGAAGCATAAAGGCATAAAACGTTTAATTCCTTTCAAATGGCATTGTGTAATACATGTTTTTATATTGAAACTACCATTAATGGCCATTTTCTTTATAGGTAGTGCCATTATTTCTGTCTTGTTCCTGAAAGAAAATCTGAGAGCCTCTGATTTATTAGGTAAGTTGTGATTTAATTCATGCAGTTACAGCACTGCCTAATCAAGAAATGGCTCACACTACCCACAAACATGTATACTTTAAAAACTGAGAAAAAAAATTACTGAAATGGATGTCTCACATCATAGCTCATCCTGGGTTGGAGGTACTCTTTCCTCACACACATACTTGGCATTCTCATTGTGCCCATTGTTCTTGTTAATGATCATGGCAAGTTAGCATTTTGTATTACTGCTGTTATTAATATTATGAAATTTTCATAGACATAATAAAATACAATGAAGACATCTGTGTTAGCTAATAGACTATCCTAGTTGGAAGGACATTATTTGCAACCTTGTTACATTTCTAGTTCATCAAAATGAAAACTATAAAAATTAATGCAGCAAAGGGGGGTTGCAGGGGGTGGGGTGGGGGGGAGTATAGTTGTGGAGATGGGAGGGAAGGGATTGTAGGTGAAAAACAAAGGAGGAGGCAACAATGCTTGATAAGAAATGTACTCATTACCTTGCTCATGTAACTGTAATCCCTCTGTACAGTATTTTCAGAATACAAAACATAAAAAATTAATACAGCAAGTAACTACCTATTGTAATTTAGCTCCTTCTAAAAGTAGCACCAGGATAACGGTAGAATGCTTTCCTAGCACACATGAAGCCCTGAGTTCAATTCCTCAGTACCACATAAACAGAAAAAGCCAGATGTGGTGCTATGGCTTAAGTGGTAGAGTACTAGCCTTGAGCAAAAGAAACTCAGGGACAGTGTCCAGGCCCTGAGTTAAAGCCCCAGGACTGGCAAAACAAAAAACAAAAAAATAAAATAAAAAATAAAAGTAGTACCAAAGCGTACTCTTCAAACTCTTTATTTGGGAATGGTTATTAATGGAAAAAAACAGTAGTTTTCCTGGCTATAAGAAAGATTTCTGTTCTCTAGTGAAGCTCTCATTTATTCATTGTATCTTCTTGCTTTTGTTGGAAATATCATTGGTGAAAAGAATGATGTGAATCATTTTTTCTTCTTTAACAAAAATTGTTTGAATTGCTGCTGACATATAAAAATGAATACAGATACTTTAGGCACTTTAAATAAAACAATGCCTATCCTCTTGTAAGGAGATCTTTTTTTTTTTTATGTGAGCTCTCTATATGACGCCAGTGTTGGTATGTTGAGCATTTGTTTCCCTGCTCATCTTTCTTTCCCTTGAGCTTCATGTCTTGAAAGTGTTTCTACTTTTTCTTCCCCTCCTTGGTTTGATTCTGTTAGTAGAATTTTTAGTCAACATTGTCACATTTTTCATGGTTAAAATGCTTTTCTAAATGCATTCATATGTGATTTGTATCCTTTCCAGCATATTATTTTTTATACATTGTGGTTTATGGAATCATTTGGAGAAGTCATATGAAATCAGAAATAAGAATGACCAACACATGAGTTTTATAAATTAAAATATTAGATCCTATAATTTCTCTTGTTTATCAAATGTTTTAAAGGAATTGTGTATCTTTTTAATCTAACATCTACCTTATTTTATAGTGAATGTTTGATTACTGATTAAATCAATCTAATTTTAAAAGACAATAAAGATGGGTATAATGCACGATTTGCTAATTGCCTTGAATATTAGTGATAAAAATATTATTGCTCAGCACTGTTGCCTATAATTCTAGCTACTCAGAAGTCTGAGATCTGAGGATCATGGTTCAAAGCTAGCCCAGCCAGGAAAGACCTTGAGATTCTTGTCTCCAATTAACTACCTAAAAAGTGAGAATTAGAGCTGTGGCTTAAGAGGTAGGGCACTAGCATTGAGCAAAATAGCTCAGGGACATCAACAAGGCCCTAAATTCAAGGTCCAAGACCAGCACACACACAAAAATTATTGTTATTGTTATTATTACAGATTCCCTATCTGCAAATAATTTACAGTTTATGATAAACTGTAGAGATTCTTAAGTAGAAAGTAAAATGTAGCATACTGACATGAGCCTTCAGTTTAGAACAGCGTTCTGAATCTCAGCCCTCCTGACATTTTGAGGTAAATAATTCATCACTGAAGGAATTTTTGTCTGCGTTTTAGGGTGCTTAGCATTCTGCAATCTTTTACCTATTAGATGTCTGTGGTCCCCTTCACCTTGGCTTTAACAACTAAAAATGTCTCTAAGTGTTACTAAATGTTCTATGAGTGAAAAAAATACCCCAAATTAAGAGCCACTGGTTTAGAATAAAGAGAGATTGCTCTTTCTTCTGGCTGGGAAGAGTAGAGTGAATTATCACAGCAGAAGTAATACTTAAATTGGTTCTAACAACCAAACAGGACAGGAAGATCTGGAGAAAAGGATTTAAAGAGGCCCTACAGATGGACTAATACAAGAAGTGTTAACCAAAGTCCAGAATGTAAAAGTCAGTTTCTGTTTACTACTGGACTACAGCTGCTTCCCAGAAAGTCTAAGAGAAAAATAAATGTAAGTCATAACTATAGCTAAGGAAAATACTAGAAATATCAATATGCTCAAATGAGTTAATTATGAACTTTAAAAGCCCAAGATCAGCTAAACATTTACAAGGAGCAATGAATTAGTTCAACAAATTAAAGGATATAAATTAAACTCACACTCACATATTCAGATTTAGAATGGATTGCGTGACTAACATCTCTCTTAATCCCAAGAAATTCCCAAGAGGTAATACTAAAAATACTAAAAAATATAACACACACACACACACACACACACACACACACACACACACACACACACACACACACACACACACACACACACACACACACACACACACACACACACACACACACACACACACACACACACACACACACACACACACACACACACACACACACACACACACGAAAAGCCAAGCACCAGCAATCTTAGCTACTTAGGAGTCTGAGTTTTGGAAGACTTCAGCTTAAGGCTGAACTCCTTCTCAGTCAAGAGTTGAACATGTTATCTTTGCTCTGTGAGAATCCTAAACAAGTAGATCATGACACAGGCACACACCTGGACAGGAAGTGAAATCCTGTCCCCCAAAATTAACAGTGCAAAGAAGGGGGAGAAGTACTGCTCATTGGTAGAATGACTATCTAGCGAGTGTGAAGCCCTGAGTTTAAACCTAGTTCCACCAAAATAACTAAAACCTCCAATTAATTTTTTAGGAGCTTTTAATCATTTTTTTTCTAGAGAAATAACAAGTAGCAAATATTAAACACTTACTCTTGCCAGTTAATATGTTGTATTTCACATGGATTTCCTCACCTAAAATCTAATACTTGAAGAAGTTAAATTACTTACCCAAATCACTTAACTAGCAGGTGATGGAGCAGTGTCCTAATAGTAGCAACCTGATGAGCTCATTTTAAGAGTTTAGGGAACTGTGTTGCCTTTACAAAGTTATATAAATCCCTTCTTTAATTCTCAAGTTCCAGTTCTTTAAAATGAAGGTAACATTACCTAACCTCACAGGATTACATGAGCTTAAGTATTAAAACTCTTCCTAGTTTAGGGCCTATCCCATAATAAGTGCTCAGAAGCCAGGCACCCGTGGCTCACGCCTGTAATCCTAGCTACTCAGGAGGCTGAGATCTGAGGATCGAGGTTCAAAGCCAGCCGTGGCAGGAAGTCTGTGAGACTCTTATCTCCAATAAACCACTAGGAAAAAAAACAGAAGTGATGTAGTGGCTCAGGTGGTAGAGCGCTAGCCTTGAGCTGAAGAGCTGAGGGACAGTGTTCAGTCCCAGAGTTCAAGCCCCACAACCAACCAAAAAAAAATAAGTGCTCAGAAATGTAGCTGTTAGTTGGGCACTGGTGGCTCACACCTGTAATCCTAGCTACTCAGGAGGATCCTCAGGATGTGAGGATCACAATTCAAAGCCAGCCTGAGCAGTAAAGTCCATGAGACTCTTATCCCCAAGTAACCACCAGAAAACCAGAAGTGGTGCTGTGGCTCAAGTGGTACAGCACTTGCCTTGAGCTGAAGAGCTCAGGGACAAGGCCCAGCTCCATGACTGACCAAAAAAAAAAGGAAAGAAGGAAAGAAAGAAATGTAGCTATTATTATTTATTACCATAACAACCACCACTACCCACTTCTACACTCTGATCATAGGAAACTTAGGATATTTTCAAACTTCATTAATTCAGGTAACATTTCTCATGCCTCGGGGTGGTTTTGTGGTTGTGTTTTTGCCTTTCTAACTGAATGCTTTTGGACAAGTCACATTTGCTTCACACCCCAGTTAAAAGTGACCAGTTCTTACCTTGAATCTAAAGTCACAAGAATAAACCAGAGTTGTGTCCCTAATTTAACCATCACCCAGGAGTAATGGCACTATCTAAACAACTCACTTCACGTGATAAGCATCCGGGGAAGAACTTTCCCCATCCACACTCAGTACTGTGTTAAGTCACATCTGTTTTCTTTGGGCTTTTATTGCTTTTGCCTTGAGAAAAATTTAGCTCTTTCTGTTAAAAGGGGAAAAAATGCATTTTTTTTTTATAGAGACTAAAACCAAACAAGGAAAAGAGTAGTTAGTGGTGTGTTTTAAAGACTAACATATGAGCATGCTAAAAATTAAATTGTCAAAATGTGAGAAGGAAAATCATTTATTTCCCCCTACTTCAAGCAAATGAAAGTTTGTTTTTCATGATGGAACAAATGAAGATTTGGGAGCCATGTGGAAACAAGCTGAACTAATTTATTGCCAAATGTTGCTCTGTGGCTATGAAGCTTTTCACCACTGGCCTCAAAAAAAAAAAAAAATGACCTCACAAAAGCTATGTCTGAAATGAATCGCCAACTATTATTAACTCAATGACAGGCGTTGGCCTGTGCACTGATTCTTAGTGGATTAATAATTCTAAATTATTTTAATGATTATTTTTCCTTTAAAAAGCACCAGATTTGTCTCTCCTTTAACCAGCCAAAAACTATAGTATTTTCCTCTTTCTTTTCCCTCAAGTCATCAAAAATATCAAATCTAACTGTC